ATAGATAGATAGATAGATAGATAGATAGATAGATAGATAGATAGATATAACATTTTAGATTGTCAAATTGTTTTGTTTTGTTTTTTTGCATGAAGCTTTATTGGATCCTACATATTTATCATAAATAGTCATGTTTCTTGTAATCCTTTTTTCCATCGTTGTTATTATCCCCATTTGTAATTGTCACATGCCATTTAATGTAGAAAAATGGTTCAAATTTAGTTTCCAAAGACATTTACATATAGCAGACAATAAACTGTGAATAGGTGCAAAGTTAAGAGAGTAAGTGAAAATCAACATAGCATGGAAAGATTTTCTTAGCCTCAAGCAGTTGTTAACTGAAACATAAATCCATCACACTGTCACTCTTTAGTGCAGAAAACTTTTCATCCTACAGTCATTTTTAGAAAAAACCAAGAGCAGGTTTCCCCAGAAAACCACGAGTTTTGAACCCTCCCGTGTTTTCACAGTTTGCATCACTCCTTTTTTTGTTAAAAAAGAAACACAAGCGTCTTACTTCCTGTAAGCTTTTCACTGAATAGCAGCAGTTTCAGACAAAAGTCTGTTGAATCTCTGTGGAGTTAGAGCAGTCTGAGCCTGGTACAGTTCTTCAGACGGGCGTCTTCACAATCTGAACTGCCACTTGCAGCTCACAGGTGGTGGATAGTTACTAATCAGACACTTAATTATGCTCACAGGATTTATGAAAAACTAATAATAAAAAATACCAAACTACCAACAGGCTTTTACCAACACTGAGAAGTCTTTTCAGTCATATTAGCAAAAACGGGGACAAAAAAAAAACACATCCAGTGATACAGTGATCCCTAAAAGTAAGGTCAGATTAATTAAATTAAAAAAAATTAAAAAACACTCTATGTTGATATTTTCTCTCGAAAAAAATATGAAAACTGCAATAAAGCCTGTGGACTGATCGTCTTGATTTATCAGCCCTATTGGATCGGCTGATAAAACTACATTCACTCCAGTCCTGGAAAAGAGTTTAACTACAACTATATATCCATGTTTTGAATCTATTAATTATTTTTTTCTGCGTTTCACATTTTTAAAGAAACATTTTTTAGCCGGTTGCATACCACCACCTGTGACTGGATGAGGTCCAAAGAATAGACCCGACATTGTTTTTTTGCCACTGGCACTATGAGATCAAGAATAATAGAGCTCGTCTTTTCATAAAACACCGAGATAAATTTGTTGGGCTCAGACGGCTTCCCATATGTTCAGTGTGAACCTGGTCGAGGCTAACACAGTACAGACATTGTGGGAATGCAAGAAGCTGCTGCCAGGAAATGGGACTGCCTACAAAGACGACTATCAGTGTCAGCAGTCTTAGAAGGATGGGAACATTTTCAGCAACAATTATGATCACACTCTGAAAAAATGAAGCAAGGCGACTATTTTTACTTCCAAATATGTCCCCCTGGCCCAGCAAGAAATGGAAATGTGTTGGTATGTAGAACACTAACTATGAAGTGTGTCCTTGCCTTAGTTTGATGCATCTTTTTTTTTTACAGCTCATCTTATAGGTGCACAAAACATTTTTAATAAATACTAATAATAATAATAATAATGAATTCGATTATGAAACTCCCCCTGGGTCAGTCATGTGATTAGAGGACGAAAACTCCAAATGCTTTTGGAAAATAGTTAGGTGGGGTCAAACTTAGTGAAGAAAAGAAAGGCAACAGAAGACTGTGAGGTGTTAAAGACAGATTATTTTAGCCCAAATTAATCATATTTATTATTAATGATCAGAAAGCACATTCTGATATGTGCGCGTATGTGCAAACAGACATTTTTTGGGTGTGTTTTGTTGGCATTTTAGTTTGTTTTAATCCCACTTCCCATAAAAGATTGTTTTAAATGGATCTTTTTTCACCACTTAGATCCAAAACAGGATTGTACAAACAGATTTTTGTCGCCTAAACACAAATTGTACAAAAACATAAACAGAGAAAACGAAAGAGAAAGAAAGAGGGGAAAATGAGGAGTGCTTCCGCGGTGAAGTCCGGGGCTGACGTCATCATCAGAGAAACACATGGAGCCGGAGACCACTAAGGGGAGCTAAAGTCCCTCTTTTTTTTTGTCCTCCATGCCTTTGAACTACATTGTCATTTACGTGCCATAACTGTGTGCATGTTTAGTCAGAGGGGCAATTAAACCCAATTTCAAACAGTTTAATGAGATTGATTTGAATGATTGCTGCGAAATGCGTTGTAGATCTAATCATCACAGAAATTCCAGGATCAGCTGGATCCTTATAATCTACCTACTTTAATTCACTTCTGTTCTACCAACCTTAAAACAGCCGTGGTTAGAGATTATTTTAAACACACCTTTTGTTGATTATGATTTTATGTTGGATGTTTTGCTCTTTTTTTTTTTTCTTCTTTCTAGAATCCAATAAGATCTATTTACAATACACACAGTG